TTGGAGGACACTGTTCAGTACGGGTGCAGTGTGCCTTCCCTTCCCAAAAAATAAAATACAACCCCCCACCCCCCATAGAGGTGTTTCTTTTCCTGGGGTTGGTTTTCCTAAACTTCCGCCTACTGGCGATGGAGGGGTTGCCAGAGTGGCAAGTGAAGGCAAGATGGGGCCTGAAGCACGGTGCTTCACAATTAAGGCTGCAGCGTGCACCATGGCCCACACTGCGCATTGCAGCCGCGAGCCTCCCTCGGAATCCAGCTTGTACTCTCCGTACTTGAGGCGTGCGCGGCGGTAGCACGATCTGATCAAAGCAATGTCCCGTACAGCTTTTGCCGACCGCCTTGGCTGGCTTTGAGTTTGGGAGCGGGAGCTGGACAGTCGGAAACTCCGCTTGCTGCGCAGTCTGGCAATGCGCCCCTTGCCATCGGCCTGGAGCATTGTGGGTGAAACAGGTCTCCGCACCTTTGAGCCATTGAACGGTCCGGACCAGAAGATGCAGGCACCTTGCAATCGCAGGGGAGGCTCCAAGATTCTAATCTCGAGGCTCCAGAGCGTGGATTCTTCCCTTGGCAAGCTTGATCCCTTCCCGCAAGCGGCTTGCCTCGGCGGCTTTCAAGAAAGCGAGGCTTCGCGGCCTTGGCTCCAAGAGAAGGACCTAACTGCAAACTAAATAAACAGGGCGGATCTTCGAGTGCTTACGCTACACTGGCACACAGCAGCAAATGCATGCCTGCGGGGTTGCACACCCAGCAACTGGCGTCTCATCATCTTCGTTGCAAGGCTCAGGCGCTATGGACTTCCAAAGGAAAGCTTTGCATCGGCCTGGGAGCATTCAGGTGTCACCTATAGTACCACAAATCCCCCCTTTGCTTTGCACCCACGGCGTTTTTCTAATCTAGCAGCTTCGGCCATGGCACCCCCCCCCCCCCCCCCGTCAGCACAGTTTTTTCTTCGTTCGCGGATGGTTCAGGATTAACAGCCACGGCTCGGCCAGGCTCCTTCCGAGGAGTCCACTCTCAGACGATCGCTAAACGTGTTGCTGATGTCCTTCTGCTAAGCGCGCATGGCTCAAGCACGCATGCATGCTACACAGAAACGACATGAGTGAGTGGACCTGAAATTTCATCTGCCCAGAATTCCCGGAGATATTTGCTGCAAAGGCAACAGCCCACATCATATCATGGCGATGCTGCCTAAACAACGACACTTGGCAAGGCGGTAAATTCCTGCAACAGCACTTAGAACTTGGATCTAGTTGGCTGGTGTCTGCCATATGTCTATTTTGCTTTTTGGCAAATGGTTGGATTCTCGCAATTGCCTGAACACGGCCATTGCCAAGTTCGAAGCGCACATCAGCCACATCATCTCCAGTTCTTCTTGGCGTGCCCTGGATCGACCACCGGCATCCTGAAGGCGTTCCAGGTCAAAACGCGGCATGTGTGGTATGGCAACCAACCCCAGTCCTGGACGTTTCCATTTCGGAGTCGCGCTGCTGCATTCTCCGCCTAAGCGCCTCTTCAAAGCTCACTCCCGCTGCCTTTGCCCCTCGTTCACGGCTTCGGCTGCGCCCTTTCCTGTCACTCCGTGGGCTACGCGAACCCACCCACCCCTCCTCGACAAACGCTCTAAGAACTTTCCTGCAAAGGTCACGGATGCACTAGATGGGGTTCTCGACAAATTAAGGAATCTGGCTTCCTTCCGGATCAAAACGAAAATGTTTCCCCAAAGTGCATGCCAGTTTTGGTTCTCGCGCCAAAACATCGCGGCCGGAGGGCCTCTACCTGAGTAATACTCAAAACCTGGTATAAAAGTCGTCTACGTAGAACCATGTACAGAATGCAAAGGGCAGCATTCTCCAATTTCTCGCTGGGGTTGTCCCTCACCCTCCAACTACCAAAGGGTTTTGAGGACGTAACTCAATCCCACCACCCCCCGCGACCAAACCAAACCAACCAACCACACCAACCCCCAAACCCCAACCCCAGTCCCCCCGCCTCTTTTTGCCCTTCTTCTTGCCGCGGCTGGAGGACACCGACGCGGCGGAGATGGATCGCGACCGGCTGAGGTGCTTCTTCTTCGGCGAGCGCTTGCGCGACCTGGCGACTTAGCGCTTCCCAGCCCCACAAAGGCTTTCTGGGGGCCAAAGGGATGCCAATATCTCTGTATGTGTACGTGTATATGTATATATATATATATACATACCACCGTATAAAGGGCAAAGACCCACTTTCCAATACTACCCCTCTCCCTGCCCAGCCAAAAGGTCCCTTGGGGGGTAGGTTTTGGAAGTAGTGGAAACGATCTCCGGACAAAACTAACTCCATGGAATATGATGGTAATTACTCGGTCAACCACTTCTATGACATTCAGAACGTGCCTGATGATGCTCAACAAGTTCTGCCAGTCTACAGCATGGCTGCGCAGAAGATACAAGGAAATAGTGAAACTGCGCTTGTATCTCCGCCGGCGAAAGGGGCAAGGGAAACACAAACTCAAAACGCCTTGCTTGCAGCACGTAACCCAACAAAATCTATGCTTTTCTGCGTGGGTGTGCATTTCATCGGGAGCTTCCCAAAGAAACACCGCTGTGCTACAAACAATGCCCCGTTGGCTTGCACATTTGCAACTTGAGGTCTTTGAGTTCACCCGGCGCCATGGAAGAGACAAGAGCTGAGTAGCACTGCCGAAGAGATTCTGCTCGTGGCGCCACTTCTTTTAACCAGAGCCAGGACTCTGATACTGATGGCACTGTTTGAAAACCCTCAAGCCATGAAGAGTTGCTTGAATCAAGCTCCATTCCTTGCAAAGACCAAGGTGGACGGTTGAAATGCCTTGGCATGACAGGCCAGCAATGTGACATTCTGACATGGCCATTAGTCCATTGCCTGTGATGAGTCTGCAATTGCTCCAAGTCTTGAGTTTCAGCTTGTCGCGAGTCGCAACTGGAGTGAATGCGAAAGCCTACCATCAGGTCATCATGAGCTGTTCAGCAACGAAATGGTTTTCACAGCTCCCGCCGCCCGCCCCATGCTGAACGAAGATCAAGCCCTTTAGCCGGACACTTGCAGCCAGCCTCACAGGCTCTGGATGAGGCGTCTGAGTCTGGAGGCGCTCCAAGAAGGCGAGGGAGCTGTCGACATCCTCCTCCTGCTTCTTCAGGCTGGCCTCGTTCTTTTCAGCCATCGCCTCGAATCTGGCCTCAGCAAGCCCCTTTGGGGAATCTCCTATCCGGTGCTACCAGGCATGTATCATGAGATTCCACAACTGTCACAAAACCCATCGCCTCGGAGTCTTCAGCACCTTTCCTTCTTTTCTTCCCAGTCGAAGGATCTGGCATAGGACGTTCCCGGATGGTGAAAGTCCAACCTCCCGGGTCTTTGGTGTCTTCGTTGGCTTTGCCCTCTCTCTCATTTCGCTTCTCGGCTCTCTCGGCTTTGGCTTCTCTCTCCTCGGCTTTTTCTGGTTCGCGCTCGCTTTCTTTGACTTCCACCTCCTCGCGCTTCTCTGGGCTGGGCGGCCTCTCCTGCCTCTCCTGCCTCTCCTGCCTCTCCTCCTCCTCCCTCGCATCCTCAGGGCGCTTGTTTGGCGCCCACTCCTCTGACCGGAGGAAGCGACGCTGCTTCTCGGAGAAGATGGTTAAGTTGTCGAGCACAAGACCTGAAAAGCCCCAACATCCAAAAGCAGCCAACTCCCCATATGCTCGGTACGGATCCTTTAAGCCAAGCGTCCCCGCAGCTTTTGGCTATTTCGCATTGACATGGTTGCACAAAACTTCCTGTGCGCAACCTCAGGTTCCAGGAGCTGCCCTGACACCCTGGCCTACAATGACTGCACAAAGGGAAGTCGAACAACCCCAAGCAGACCCGAAGCAACTCACAGCCGCAAGTGAAAGCAGCCACATGGTACCCCTTCTTCCATTGAAACAAAAAACACACACCTGCATCATTTGATGGCTTGTGGCTTTGAAGCGCTCCGTTGCTTCCTGACGGTTGCCAACCTTCATTGCAGAAAATCGTCGAGCTGCTATGTCGTAGAGCTCTGTGGAGTTTGCCCTTCTATCCTCCACCATTCTGAGCGCCTGCCACTGCTGGGGTGTTCACGCCTCTCTCTAGCCCTAACTCTTTGCCAGGCCTTGGAAAGCCACTTGAGTCTCTGCTCTGGCTTCAATGCCATGGCAACTCTGAGGTCCACCTGCACCTAGGACCGCATCAGAGAGACGAATTGACGAATCACGGAAGCTTGCCCGCCTCATCATTGTGTTCAACTATCTTCTTGACCTCTCCTGCGGAAATTCAAACGCAACCTTGCGACCCCGGCTCCCATCAATGGCTGACAAATTGTTGCTCGTGTCACGCAGCTCACTTTTTGAGTCAAGGCTCGCTTCTGGCGGGTGACAACCTCCGCCGGCAATCGTCGATTGAGAGGATTGGCATCCTCGCCCGACATGCCAAGCCCCCGATGGGGCGCAACGGCAGGTGCCAAAACACCTCCCACCAGCTACTCCCACTGTCTGAGCCAAACATTGCAATAGGTCATGGTTTCTCCTACTTCAAGTGGAGTCGCAAACTGCAAGTGGCACTGGCAGTGCCTCTGCGCATGCAACTCAAGCTTGCACATCTGCCGGAGTTCTGCCAGTCCGGACCAATCATGCACGTGGGTTCTCAAATGAAGTGATTTCCAAAGTGGTTGGTCTCCTCTGCCCCCCTTAGCAAAACCAAATGGCAGTCCCCCCCCCCCCCGCCCTGTTGCCAGGCCTCCGATGCCAAGGCCATGCCAGGCCCAAGCCAGCTGGCACCAAGGTTCTTGGCTGTGAACCTTTCTGGCTGTCTGATTGTAATTTGTCTTCCTGCTTTGTTTTGTTGCGTTTCTTGCTTTCTTTTTTATTCTGGTGTGTGTGTGTGTGTGTTCCCCTTCTCCTAGCTTGAAGCATACTTGCATGTCTTGAGCTGAGGCAAGGGCAAACAAAACATGATTTGCTTCAGCTAGTCTAAGCGTCGTGCAGACCACACCAGTTCCAACCTCAAGCCCCGTTGCAGTCTGGAAGTCTGCAGATGTAACAAACATCTTCACGCAGCTCAGCGCTCCCGCATCCAAAGCAACCAGGTGGGTCCTCAGGTTTCAGCTCAAGCACGAGCTGCTGCGGGCCACTCTTCTTGGAAGCTTTGCCACCCGGTGTCCATCCCTTAAGTTCGCGGCAGCTTGCCAGCAACGAGCTCGGTGAGAAGGTCCTGCCACACCCATGGTCATGTCACTGCCTCGAGTGGCAGCCACCCAATTCCTTCAGACCGCTTCCAGCATGCCTGAGAACGCCGGCTTCGAGCTAGTGACAACCCAAAGTCACCGCACATTAGTGCAGACTCCTTGCAATGACACCACCGCGACACGGCAATCGTCGTGGCTGTCATTGTTGTCATTGATGTAATGGTCAAGTATCATCATCAAGCATCCTATCATGCCATCTGTTCATTCTATCACTTCCGTGGCGTGTAAATCTCCAGAGCTTCAAGGGTTCCCTGCCCTTGTCTGTCAACTCCTGAAGGCTCTTGGTCCCTACTAGAAATTGCAGCTGATGCTCATGTTGCAGATGATGAAGCTGCCGACGACGAAGATGACTCGGATAATAGTGATGGTGATGGTGGTGGTGGTGATGAAGCTGCTGCTGCTGCCGTGATGCTGCTGCTGATGCTGATGCTGATGCTGATGCTGCTGCTGCTGCTGCTGCTGCTGCTGCTGCTGATGATGATGATGATGATGATGATGATGATGATGATGATGATGATGATGATGATGATGATGATGTCGATGTCGATGTCGATGTCGATGTCGATGTCGATGCTGTTGCTGCTGCTGATGATGATGAGGACGACGATGCTATTGCTGCTGCTACTGCTGCTTGGTGGTGAATTTCTGGAGGATGAGGAGATGTAACTGTAACTTTGGAAGAGGTTGGGCAGGTTGACGACAGAATGGGCAAGAGAAACAGCAATGCTGATGACACCGGCAACAGTCTTTCTCATCTCTTACTGATACGAAGAATCCATTGTCTTACCCAATTGTCATTACTTTGGGATTGGAGGACAAGGGTAAAAGTGAGTGTCAAGCATAGTGATCTGGGCGCTTGACCTTGCTGCTGCGCCCAAGGCATCCTAGCGAGCATGCATGTTTGAAGTGGCTGGCACCCTATGCCCTCGTCGTCCTCCATGATGCAGGCCGACTGATGTGCTTCTCCACCAGAAACAATCAGAATAATGACTGTTGCCCATCTGAATGCGCCGGTCGACTGACTGACTTTACATTTCTCGGAGCAGCTCACGCTTGCAGCATTTCAGATAAGCCTACAATCCACAACCCTTGCAATAATCCAACGGACAAGGGCATCCCAGCAAGCATCATGTCACTTCTGAAGCACCCCCTTCTCCGGGAGTACCAAAGCGCTTGGAGCAAGTCTTTACACTTCTTTGGCCGCTGTGACACTGCCTGTACACGGTGCTCAGAGTGTGCTCAACATCTTGAACACAGCGGCAACATCTGGGTGGTTCTTCACCTCTGCATTGCACTCCGTGAGCCGTCCTTTGTCTTGCTGCTGAGGTCATCACGCGTGGAATTCTGGACCTGCTGACTCATCGGACGGCTCAAGCAAACCAACGGTCTCAGCATCCGGCTCAGCCGCGTCAACCAGCGGCTTGATATCAGAAAGATGCTTGCGACCTATGGCGATAATGCCTCAGCGCGACTGAGGCAATTGTGTCGTTGCACCGTTGGCACATGCCCAGTTCACCGCAAGCAAGCCGCGCTGGAGGAAAATGCCCTGGAGTGTGGCATCCTTGCTCGCGTCCTCGTATTTCTGGACCTGGCTGTGCAAGCCGCCACTGGCTCAAGCCCATGCTGTCCAACTGGGATGGCTGCCAGGCTCGTGAAGATGGATGTGAAGAGGCTCGCCTGAAGATGTCGACCACGAAGAAGCAATCGCGCATTGGCCAAGCGCTCGGCGCTCTCTTGGACGGCGCTGTCCAGCTCGGCACGGCCTTGTACGGCAAGCATACGGCAAGCAAGGCCCAGAAAGAGGAGACAGACCCAGGGCTCCAGGCACTTTGCCAGTGCATCCTCCTCAGGCATTTCAGCTTAGCTTCTTAGCTCTTAGCTCCTGAATGCAACGCTCTGCCTTCCCTAGCTTCTTTGCAGTTGCCAAGTCAGCTCGCGCAACTTGTGATCGATCAAGGCCTCAGGGAACAGGCGAATACTAAAATCACCGCAACACCATATGAAAGGACCCACTTTGAGAAGTGCACTTTTTCGGGCGACGTTGTCCACCACATTCCACACGTGCATCGCGTCAGCCTGGCGCGATCCGCAGGCCGACGTCGAGACCGGCTGGCTCCTCCGGCCCATCTGCGCCTGACCGGGGGCTAGAGCCACTTCAGCCGCCGCCAGTGGGGTGATCACCTGAGCAGTTGGCCACAGCTCCATTGAAGCAAGTTCTATGTTCATAAAAAAAGAGCT